ACGAATTCTATAAATAAGTTCCTGTTGGGAAATGCGTGTTGCATATGAATGTGGAATATTCATGGAATATTCGCGTGTGTTTAATATACGTTTAATTAATACTATTGAAAAAATAGTAGAATACATTTTGATTCAACTAAGACATTATTCACTTTAAATCAACATAATAATACTGTAGATTTATCGTTGATGAATACTTATATATATTATACAATTACAATCAATGCGAATTGAGTTCAATAAATATTGRATATCTGCAGTATATTTTTATTCGTAGATAAATAAAACTATAATCGACTTAAAATCAACCATTAACATACACTAAAATATATGGTAAAGGTACCTATACTAGAATATGTGTTGATTCGATTGGGAAAATACCTACTTAAAATCCCCGTAAAATCTACGGTAGATTTATTGTTGATGAATATATATCCAAASTCAATGCACACTGGGTTCATCTAAAAACCTCATATTAAAATTTACGTCCAGCAATTTCAATTTTGTGTCGTTAATTTAAATCRAKAAAGAATTTACCTAATATCAAATTTAAACGTGAGTATGATATCATCTGTACTCTCTCGTTGGTTTTTTACAATATTTAAATTTTTAAATGATCTATGAGTATGTAAAATATTATAAATAAAGAACGCTCGTAGTTCACTTAAAAATCAAAATAGTGTAAAAAACTAATGTTCTTACATTTAAATTTAATGAAAGTACTCAACGTACATTTTGCTAATTAATGCATTAGTAAGATAGAGATAACATGGGCGAAAACGACGTCCTCTTAAGTACATTATTATATTTTATATTCATAATCAAAATGTTACAATAAAATATTTAAAAAATTTATGTTATTTAGCTATTGCTTATTTATACCAACTTTTGATTCATAGTAAGTCGTTATTGACTTAAAGTTAATAACGAAAATATATGATATAAATATTAAATGTTATATATGTTACGGTCAATGACGAAAATTTTGATACTTACATTATAAAGCCCGGCCAATGTCGAAAATTACCTTGTGCAATGCAAATTTACGTAAATGACCGGTAATTTACGTAAATGGCGATACATAATGGTTAATGTTGTAAACACGGGTATTTTTTTTATTATTCACGKCAATTCCCAACGCCTKTTGGACGTTGTTGTAACTTATACATTTATAACATACGGGTCACTGTTAAGTGTCAGTTATCTATCTACACACGTTAGGTACTACGTATTAGTATGTATTATTTATAAAAATATCACCGATAATCAGCGWTAGTTACTCGAGTAAACCATAATAATATTAATATATAGCTGATGGCTAAGTTAATAATAATGCCGTGCTTATCTAACAAATTATCAAAGGTAGGTAATTTG